TATATATGAACCTAAGACGTACGTGGATATTTCACCGATATTTTTATTTTAATCCAACAAAATTCATTACAGAACGATTCGCTTTAAGTAATAATAGCTTCTATTTTTTTTGTTTTTCCTATTTCACTACAATTTTTGAATATAGATGTTTTGCCAAATTTAATTTTAGGAATTAAATATTATAATTTAAATTTCGAATTTCAACAACACAACATGTAATAAGGCTAGATTTTTTTTTTTTTTTTTTTGAAAGGGTAGAATATTTGATTTAGATTAATACTAAATAACCCATTAAAAACCACTGTATAAGTAAATAAATGAATTTCGTCTGATTTTTTGTTATTTTCAGCCCAAACTATAAGCAGATTAGACTAATGCTGAAGGACTATAAGTCTATAACCCTTAAATCACATGGGTTTCTGCAGAGGCCCAAAAGCTAAAATTAATTTTATTATTTTGTTTTATATAAAATCAAAAATACATAGACCCCTGTATTTATAAGAAATTACATCTACGACACCTAATATTTTTTACATGGCAACAAAATATGAAAAATAAAAATTACCAAAAGGAAAAAGTCCAATACAACTATTACTTTTATTAGTGCAAATTACGGTCAACCCTCTGCGTTAAGGTCAAATTACGAAAAAATCTCTCATGTTTTAGGTAATTACAACTAACTACCCTTTAACATTCTTATGAAAAAATCCCTAGTTCAATTGGTAAAATATATAATACAATATATAGTTGATGGGTGGTTGTAATTACACAAACAATAAGAGTATTTTTGTAATTTGACATTAATTATAATAAATACATTAATTATAACAAACAATAAGGGTATTTTTGTAATTACAATAAGGGTAGTTATAATACAATATTAGGAGGTGACCGCAATTTGCACTTATTATTATAATAAATTATTGGTGACAAAGTGAAATTTTGAACCAAAATATAAATTAGAGCTCAATAATACGTATCTTATATATAAAAGAAAGAACGCTAGGGTAACCTAGGAACCCTAATGATATATTTG